TCCTTCCTCTGTTGCTTCCATAGATCCTCTTTTAGCTCCTTTTGCATCCCAAGGCACTTTCCCAATGGCCCAAAAACACTTGGAAATGTTGGTGCTCAGTGTGCCTCATCTGTAAAACGGGATTATTAATGGGATGCCTTTATGGGATTATTAATGGAATAGACCGGTATTTACACAGCTCTCTTGGGCTGCATCTGCACTGCAGAATTCATCCAGATTGACACTGCTCTGCCATGGCCCAATGCTATGGAATTCTGGGATCTGTCGTTTGGTGAGATATTTCTAGCCTTCTCTGTCAGGGAGCTCTGGTGCCACAGCAAACTACAGATCCCAGGATCCCATTGGATGGAATATACTCTTTAAAAGTGAAAGTGATGCTAATGTTAAAAGCATTAATCAAGGATAGTAGACCAGTAGATACAGTATAATAGAAAACAGGTATAATAGAAAAACAATGGGATCCGACAAGGAAATATGGATGATGTGTTTGTGTGTATTTATATTTGTAGCTATTTGATGTTTGTTATTATTTGTATGTGTTTGTGTATTTTATATAATAAATATATATTTTTTAAAAAATTGAAAGTGATGCCTATTCTTTGCAATGCCTGTTCCCAAAGTACTGGGTTCAAATTTCCCCAATCTCAACTTTTTGTCTTCCATTGCCATCTAGTGTCCAGAGGCGTCATTGCACCTTCACTGCAACAGCCTTGAAAAGATCCCATAAAGTTTTATTATTAGTTTTAGTACAAAAATGGAAAACAAAGTGGTCAGCCAACGGACTGGAAAAATTTGTCAATACACATCCCGATCCACAAGAAAGGAGACGCAAAAGACGGCAGCAACTCTAGGACCATTGCACTGACCTCCCACGCAAGCAAAATCGTGCCCCAAATTCTGCAACATACATGGAAAGAGAAATCCCATTATCCATATGAGGTGCAATGTGACATGTTATGGGTAATGGAGCACAATGAAGCATGTGATGGTAAAATCATGCTCCAAATTCTGCAACACAGACTCCAACTCGGAGTGAGAAATCATGGAGAGAGAAA